AATAATAATAATAAAAACAAATAAAAAAATAAAATTGAAAATAATATAAAACTAAAAACTAAATTTTAGATGAACAAAACTATAGTAACACGATATCCTAGAGGGTGGGGCGTGGTGGGGGTGTGATCTGGCTGACAGACATACATGATCATGGACCCAGCCCAGTTCCATAGAAGATCGGATCTGCCTTCATAATTACATGGTTTATTAGTAAGTGAAGGTGCCAGTTTTTGGCGTGTTTGGTTCAAGAGGCATCAAGGACAGGATCGCTAAGTGATTCAGGCAGGGGTGCCGTATAGGTCTGCTTAAAGGTAGGTTCTAAGTCAATGATACCACAAAGAGTTTGGCAGTTCCACTTAAATGTGTAGCACATAGTAACCCTATTGTGCAGGTACCTAGAAAACATCCTCAATATTAGGAGACCAAATTTAGTGATTAACATTATCTTACAAAGTCTGTAAAATGTTAAAATTAAATATACTTTTCGATACACTTCACACATTCTATTCCTTTCTGTTTTACTTTTTATATGCTACAATTATTTTCCTGCTGGAATCTGAATATTACCTGTTTATTTGTCGAGTATTCAAAGATATATGTTAATTGTTCTACCTGATTGCTCGTTTTCCTGTGCCCTCTCTGACTGTTAATTGTTTCATGTTTCGCTTCTGCATCCTCGTTACCTGGTTTAGTCTGTGTATTAATTGGGTTATTGCAGCAGAATGTGTGTTTTAATGCTGTGCAATTATCCTTGTGTTATATCTTTGTTTCTTTTAGTTATTCGTCTTTCTTTTTTAACCCCTCGTGGTCCTTTTTTTCTGCCCTCCTGGTTTCGTTCAGTTTCCCTAATAAACTCCTTTGTTGTCTTGGAGCTGCAAAGTCGATGGGTGCCTGTTTTATGCCTGCACCCTGCCCAGCTGCCATGACAGATGACAATCTGAATGGACTTGAAACGCAAGTCTAATTTTAATAATAAAATCATGCAAAAATAAACTTTCTTAATGTATGGAGAAACTTGAAAATGCAGACAGTGCAGTTTATTACGGGATTTTTCTCTTGGGATGCTCACTGCTCCTTCCAGGTAATGCTTCAAGTGGTGACATAAGCTTGCAGTATTTCCAGTTTTAATTGGCACAAGTTTCTGGGAGTGTTTACCACTGTGTGAAGAGGTGTATATGGACTGGAATTCCCCCGTATGCTCCCTGATACTCCAAAATTAAACTGCCAGCAATCAATTGCCATGGGGAATAATCCTTGGGGTCCTAGCAAAGGAACATTTGCATTTTATACCTTCGGCCATCAGATACTCTTCAGCTGGTTAAAAGACTTATCTGGATTGGTAACATTTTAGCGTAACTTGTTTGTGGATCATATCCACGTGTGTTGCTTCCGGCATTATGTATTGTAATTAAACATATTACAGGATAAAAAATTTATTCAAACATATCAGAATATGCAGCAGTCATACAAAAGCATAAACAAATTTACTGAAACAGTTATTTTACAATCGTATCATCTTTTTAGTTGCAGAGTCCTCTTTCACCTCTTTGAGGTCTCTGAAGTCTGACTCCATCTTGTCCATCCACTAAATAACATTCTCCATTAATGATTCATGTTTCTTAAAAAATGCATTTAACATGCAAACCAGGGGCCTGAATCATGAAGCCAGATTCCTTGCTAAGCTGGATAACTTTGGGGATAAGTAGCAGTGACTCTGGCTTTTTGATATAATGATGCTGGTTCTCTATTAAGCGGGACCCATCACCACGGTAATTCATGCTACAGAGTTAAACTGCTCCAGAGCCGGATATGTTTCAGGATCATGGATCTCAGTGAAAGAGAAGTAGGTATATTTCCCAAACTTTCTGGCCTGTCCAAGACATTTCCATACAGGATTTAATTAAAAGATCACTGCTATAATGACATATTGGTTCAGCATTTTGAGTTGGCAGTGACTGGGGGGGGGGGCTGTGTGTATGTGTGCAGGTGAGGGCATCAGGGGCAGACTTCAGTACTCAACTAAAAGGCCAAGACAGCAGCTAACGGCTGGTCAGGCAGATTCCGGAAAATCTCAGTCTAGCAGCTGTATTCAGATAGTTGCGGATGTTTTCAGGTCCAGATAACAAAGTTCTGTTGTTGGTGTCCAGTCCCCTCATATCTCATTGAAGATACCTTGTTTCATGAGCAATTAACTTTTATTTAACCACTAACATCTTCCATGCAAACCTACAACATGCTCTGACTTGTCAGTCTCCTTTCTCGTTGTCTTTACCTCTTCCTAACCCTCTGCTGGTCACCAAAGGTACTGCGCTACATAACACACACAACACCAGACTTAAAACTGCCAAAGTACCGCCGCACCACCGTCGTCTTTTTACCTCGTTTATCCACAAGATCTCCTGTTGCTTCCTTTACCAACATCTGACGTTTCCCCTGAATGCTTATTACTTCCATGATATTGCAAAAGCATTTCGACTCAAGTGTTACCAAAACAACAGCATGTGGCATGCTTCGCAAATTCAACCAATCTGGTTATGTTTGTTGGTTAGCTGTTCTTAAAAGACATATGTTTAGTTGGAATTACATTCATTTCTGTGATGTGATGTGTGTTTACAGACGATGTTCCTTATCAACAGTTTATCAGTTTCTCATTTTCTTACGGTTTAAATTTACCATATGTTGATATATCATTTATATCGCCCAGCTCTAGGCTTGACAAACTGTAACTCTGTGTTTGACCAAGCAGAAGCCGCAGTGACCTCACCATATCAAAATGAGCCATTTCTTGTGCATCCCTACCAAAGTAAGGAGACGGACGTTTAAGGTGAGTGGTACATCCGCAGTGCTGTGATTTCTGCTTCCTTCTGTTCTGACTTGTTAACCTGTTTAAGTTGTCCTGCAGTTCCAGGCTTCACGGAAGCACGTCCGCCCTTTTCTCCTGCAAATCATGGACGATTTAGTGGATGATGAGTTGAAGCGGTTCAAGTTCCACCTGAACACACAAGTGCTGCAGGAATTCCAGCCCATTCCAGTCAGTCAGTTAGAGCGTGCCGACCGGATGGATACAGTTAAAAAAATGAAAGACTATTATAATACTGAAGGAGCACTTCGGGTAACTCATGCTGTATTGAAGAAAATGGAAATGAATGATCTGGCTAAAAAAGTACAGAAAGTCATGAATATGGGTAAGAGTTCTGGCATGAACTTCACATTGATAATTGTACTCAAAGACCAGACTGCCTGAATGCTGACGTTACTCTCTGAAAATTGTTTTAATCAGTATAATTGGCTGTTATCAGAAGAATTCTAATATACACTATATTGTCAAAGGTATTGGGACACCTGCCTTTACACATACATGAACTTTAATGTCATCCCTCCCATTCTTAATACATAGGCTTTACTATGGAGTTGACCCACCCTTTGCAGCTATAACAGCTTCAGCTATTCTGGGAAGGCTGTCCGCAAGGTTTAGGAGTGTTTATGGGAATTTTTGACCATTCTTCCAGGAGACCACTTGTGAGGTCAGGCACTGATGTTGGACGAGAAGGCCTGGCTCCCAGTCTTCACTCTAATTCAGCCCAAAGGAGTCTATTGCGTTGAAGTCAGGGCTCTGTGCAGGCCAGTCAAGTTCCTCCACACCAGACTCGCTCATCCATGTCTTTATGGACCTTGTTTTGTGCACTGGCGCACAGTAATGTTGGAACAGAAAAGGGCCATATCCTCAAACACAGTAACACAAAGTTGGGAGCATGAAATTGTCCAAAATTGCTTCAAGTGCTTTCACTGGAACTAAGGGGCCAAGCCCAACCCCTGAAAAACAACCCCACACCATAATCCCCCCCCCACCAAACTTTACACTTGGCACAATGCAGTCAGGCAAGTACCGTTCTCCTGGCAACCGCCAAACCCAGACTTGTCCATCGGATTGCCAGACAGAGAAGAGTGATTTGTAACTCCAGAGAACATGTCTCCACTGGTCTAGAGTGCAGTGGCAGTGTGCTTTACACCACTGCATCCGACACTTTTTGTTGCACTTGGTGACGTAAGGCTTGGATGCAGCTGCTCGGCCATGGAAACCCATTCCATGAAGTTCTCTACGCAATCTAAGCTAATCTAAAGGCTACATGAAGTTTGGAGGTCTGTAGCTATTGACTCTGCAGACAGTTGACTCTGCACGCTGTACGCCTCAGCATGCGTTGACTGTGTTCTGTGATTTTACGTGGCCTACCGCTTCGTGGCTGAGTTGCTGTTGCTCCCAAATGCTTCCACTTTGTTATAATACCACTAACAATTGACCATGGAATATTTAGTAGCAGTAGTAGGAAATTTCATGAATGGATTTATTGCACAGGTGGCATCCTATCACGGTACCACGCTTGAATTCACTGAGCTCATGAGAACGACCCATTCTTTCGCAAAGGTTTGTAGAAGCAGCCTGCATGCCTGGGTGCTTGAGTTTGCTGTGGAAGTGATTGGAACACCTGAATTCAAGGATTTGGAGGGGTGTCCCGATACTTTTGGCAGTATAGCATATATATGCAATACACCTTCAACATTTACAGTATATCCATGCATAGGTTCTATAACATCTCCAGTGAATTTGTGATCAAATACCTATATATTTTGCAGAAATAGATACACAGACAGCTGTCATGTTGGCTTAAAGTGTCATTTGCATTTCTAAAATTACTCGCAGTTAATTAAGAGAATAATTGTGTAGAGTGCCATAGTTATCATTTATTACATACTGAGAAGCATAACAGCTGACAGTCTGTGGGCATCATTTCAAGGAAAGGCTACGTTTATTTTGGGTCATCATTTATACAATGGCTAACAGTACTATAAATATCAACATATTTTATTTGTTTCCCAAAGCACACTCCCCGCCCAGCAGTCTCAGCATCAGCTCTCTGGGTACAACGTCTGTCACCCTCGACTGGGAGAAGCCAAAGGGGATGGAGGACATTACATACAGTTACAGTGTGACGTGGACGGAGAGCAACTCGAGCCAGAGCCATTCCATCATCACAGATGAGAACGAGGTTGTCCTGTCCAGCCTGAAACCAGGAACGGAGTACAGCCTCTCTGTGTGCACTATGCTGAAAGACACCGATCTCAAGAGTGAACCTGTCACCATCAAAACCTGCACAAGTAAGACCACACCTGTATGTCTTTATTGTCATTGTATATGTTTCCACTAATGCTATTGGTTATAAAAGATAAATAAAATAAAATACAAATACAAAAATAAAATACATAGTATATACAAAATAGATGCACAACATCAAGCTAAACACGTACACACACTAATTAAAACCCCAAAAGAGGACACTGCCCCAGTAATCCTCATCTGCCTCGACTACGCCGCTTGGTGTGGAAATGGGGCACCAGGACCCTCCAATTGGGTTCTGACCAGTTGTGCTGGTGTGAGACAGTCCCCACACCCCAAACTCCTGAAGGCTTGTATTTCACCAGTTTGTTGTTACGAGAAAGAAAAACGTCCAAATTCAATGCCAAGCTGGCAAATGACATAAAACATTTCTGCCCCCCCCCAACCCGGGCCTATGATGGCGACACAAAAACAAGGCAAGCAAGCGAGCGAGGATCCTGCCAGCGGCACAACAGATAAAATGTTATGACCAAGGTTTTACAACAAAATACTTATTTACCCCTTATTAAAACACCTTATAGAGATACCAAGGTTTGTGTTACAGCAAAAATCACACTACCACACTCCACACGCTTCCCACCCCGACAAAACACTACCATGATGATCACACGGAAACAAATCAAACCACCTGTGCACACTCACTACGTCAGCGAGCACAGTGTCGAGGTATCAGCTAAAAGGAGAGCGAATATCCTAATCGCTGCCACCCCTTAACTGAGTGACCCCAAAACGAAGCCCAGATGGGGCGCCGTCTCAGTGTAATGGTCTGCCAAGGACAAAGGGCTTTCACTTAACTCGACCCGGCGAGACTGCTGTTACTCCCATAGTAACCAAACTCCTTCTGATCCCCATATGACACTTATATTCATCAGCATGCAAAGTCACTGAGTTGTACTATGCTGCACTAAAAAAGGGATGTGACCAAATCATGTGCTGGCGTAACCATCTGAGAAAGCTGGTAGCATTAGTGTTACCACTGGAAAAGTGGGTTTGGAGCCCTGTCCTTTCTTGTTCTTTACTTGATTATGATGATTGAATGGCTTTGTGGTAGAAGCTAAGTACCCTAAACATCATAAACTGATGATTGATAACTGCTAGAGAATTTATTAATATGTAATCACAAACTACAAAAGTAATATGTCTATATGTCATTTTGAGTTTTATTACAATAACGATTGTTATCCCACAGAGCATGAGCTGAGAATTGTGCTGTTAGGAAGAACTGGAGTGGGGAAGAGTGCAACTGGAAACACCATCCTGGGCAGGAAAGAGTTTAAGTCAGAAGTCAGCAACTACTCTGTAACAATGAGCTGTGCTAAAGCCAGAGGCAAAGCCTGTGGGAGAAAGATGTCAGTGGTGGACACTCCAGGCCTGTTTAACACGAAGCTGAGCAAGGATGATCTCATAAAGAAGATCACAGAGTGTGTTTCCCTGTGTGCTCCTGGGCCTCATGCATTCCTGGTGCTGCTGCAGGTGGGCAGATTCACACAAGAAGAGCAGGAAACACTGAACATCATCCAGGAGGTTTTTGGCCCAGAATCAGCTCAATACACCATGGTGCTGTTCACACATGGGGACGTTCTGGGTGACGCTGCTGACCGATTTCTTAGCGGTGATAAAAAGCTTAATGAATTCATTAAAAAATGCCAGGGTGGATACTTTGTCTTCAACAATAAAGATGTATGGAATGCCAATCAGGTCACAGATTTGCTGGACAAGATAGAGGAGATGATAAAAAAGAATGGAGGAGGCCATTACACCAACGAGATGTTAATAAATGCCAGAAAGGGCAGCAAGAAGAAAAACAAGGGAGGCAAAGTTCTGGGAGAAAAAGAGGAGGTGAAGAAAGAAAAGCAAAAAACGCTGGAAAAAACTTCAACAGACCTGGATGAAAAAATGAAAAAAAGCAGCACTAAATAGCCACCCAGCACAGAAACAGCAATCAGTGAAAATATGATCTCATTTTTAGTGAGGAGTAAATGTGTGTCTGTTTAGTCATTTTGGATCTGACTCGACATACTGCTAGTTTTTATAACAGGGACTGTCTGTGAAGAGATTGATACATTTATTGTGTATAAGCCTTTAGGGGTGGTGGGATCGCTGTCCTTGCTGTGGGGTCAAATGCCATGACTGGTGGAGTTATTATATCACAGTTGGGTCCTTGACTAAGGCCCTTAACCCCATTCATTTCAGGGACAGTGTACGACCCCGTTGGCTGACCCTGCTGTACGACCCCAAGATCTCCTCATTTGCAAATTGCTCTAGACAAAAGAATCTGCTAAATATATACATGTAAGGGTTTGATCTTTTCATTTTTTTGTCACTGTATTTGCCTGAAGCTAGTTTATGATAATAATAAACATAACCATAATGATTATAGTAGTATTACTCTCCATAACCAAGTTCTCGATAAGCCTTTGGAAGATGCTGGAATATTCCTAGTAGTGTTGCCTTTTGTTGAATTTGATAAGTTTTAGGGAATCGTTCAATTTCTGTTCTACCATCAAATTTGTCTTATATAAAGCCTGTTGAATATAAAATAAAACCAGATAAACTGACTTCTGTGTCTTGTTTTATTCCCTCATACAGACTGACTTGAGCTCAGGGGTGACATTGCTTTGTATATAACACTGACATAATCCAATTCCCTTCTCAGGGTCACTTCTCTTTTGTTGTTTTTAAACGTGTGAATAAGCCAAACACAGGTTCCAGACTCACTGAGGGTCAAAGTAGAGCTTAGTTGCAGAGACACTTAAGTGAAGGAGATGAAGGACTACAGAATATAAAATGCTGTGACGACAAACAAGGGCAAAAACTGCCCAAAATGCGCAGACACATATCCCTCACGAACTGCTTGCATCAAACAAAGCTACGAGTAGCTCAGGATTTAGCACAGAATCACAAACAGGTAGAGCTAGAGCTGCCCGTCATGGCAAAAAAAAACCTTTTAACAAACTAATCAATCATCTAATCCAACGCTACAGTATATGATGATTCTCACTGGGAGTCCGA